GAACTGGGATGCAACAAGTACTGAGCCCTACAGGACCCCACAGAACAATGGCTGCATGGCCAAGCAGGTGTCCCCCAGCAACACCTTCTGGGAGTGACTCTCCAGGAAGGACCGGAGCCACTGCAGGACAGTACCTCCAAGTCCCATTCTCACGAGACACTCCAGAAGGGTATCATGGTTTACGGTATCAAAGGCCGTTGAGAAGTCTTAATGCTAGCCCGAATTTGTTGCACTTGTAGAAATCGTAATGATTCAGTGGACCAACTCTAGTTCCGTGTGGCTTTCTTTAAAAAAAATTGTTTTGGGAATGTCAATGGTGGCAATAAACTATTTCTTGGATGAGGTCTTTCCCCCACAATGCCTCACAGTAATGAAAAAGATAGTATCATTGTCTGACATGGGTGCCAAGTTATACAACCAACTGGCAATATGTTTCATCTACCCATCCAGGTTTCCATTTGAATCTTAGCAGCTTTCAACGAATTATTTCAATATTGTGTGGAAGCCATCTCGCACACCCAGAGAATATTGGTGCCAGACAAATCTGGTCCCATCCACCAGGCAACCAGTGAAAGAGCAACAAGAGCTAAAGGGCTTCTTTTCCATCACAGAAGGGCTGTCTGATCAAATCCCAAGAGCTTTCTTTCTCAGAATTTAGATACTGATCAAATTTCAGTTCTATTGTGCCCAGTTTTTTAAAATGTGATTTTACATGCTTCTTTCTGTAACAACCACCCTGTAGCGAAATAACTAGTTTGTTGTGTTGAACTTTGTGCTTTTATTATATTCTCAAGTTGCTCCTGACACATATTGACTGTTTTATTTCTATTGCTCTATGGCTGGATGACATGGAGGGCAAAGATTTTGGGGCAAAAGATCACTTCCTCTCATTTCCTAATGTGTTATCTTAAAAATAAGCCCAGTTCACCTACCTCAAGTTTTCCTTCCCACATTAAAGATTGTGATATAGCACCACCTTCTGGCTGCTGGTTAAAAAGGCATCTTACCAGGAATGACTGGTAAAAACAGACCAGTCTTAGGTTGCTGTGTGTTTTCCAGGCTATATAGCCATGTTGCAGAAGCGTTCCCTCCTGACCTTTTGCCTACATCTATGGCAGGCATCCTCAGAGGTTGTGAGGTCTATTGGAAGCTAGGTAAGAGGGGCTTATATATCTGTGGAATGTCCAGGGTGGGAGAAAAAACTCTTGTCTGCTTGAGGCAAGTGTAAATGATGTGATTGGTCAGTTTGATTAGCATTTAATGGCGTCAAAGCCTGGCTGGTTGCTGTCTGGCAGAATCCTTTGTTGGGAGGTTTTAACTGGTTCTGATTGATTCTTGTCTGGAATTCCCCTTTTTTTTAGCGTTGCTCTTTATTAAGTGTCCTGATTTTAGAGGTTTTTTAAATACTGGTAGCCAGATTTTGTTCATTTTCGTGGTTTCCTCCTTTCTCTTAAAATTGTCCACATTCTTGTAGATTTCAATGGCTTCTCTGTGTAGCTGACATGGTAGTTGTTAGCGTGGTCCAGCATTTCTGTGTTCTCTAAAAATATGCTGTGTCCAGGTTGGTTCATTGAGTGCTCTGCTATGGCTGACTTCTCTGGTTGAGTTAGTCTGCAGTGCCTTTCCTGTTCCTTGATTCATGTTTGGGCAATGCTGCGTTTGGTGGTCTCTATGTAGACTTGGCCACAGCTGCATGGTATACTGTAGACTCCTGCAGAGGTGAGAGGATCCCTTTTGTCCTTTGCATTTGTTGTATTTTCTTAGTGGGTCTGTAGATAGGTTGTAACAAACAGCCAGGCTTTGAAGCTGCAAGGTCATTAAATGCTAATCAAGGTGGCCAATTGCAACATTCACACTTGCCTCATGCAGACAAGAGTTCTTTCTCCCACCCTGGACATTCCACAGATATGTAAGCCTTACTTGCCTAGTTTGCAATAGACCTCACAACCTCTGAGAATACCTGCCATAGATGTGGGAGAAACATCAGGAGAGAATGCCTCTGGAACATGGCCCTACAGCCCGGGAAAGTTTACAGCAACCCAGTGATTCCGGCCATGAAAGCTTTCAACAACACATTAGACCAGGGGTCCTCAAACTAAGGCCCGGGGGCCGGATACAACCCTCCAAGGTCATTTACCCAGCCCTCGCTCAGGGTCAACCTAAGTCTGAAATGACTTGAAAGCACACAACAACAACAATCCTATCTCATCAGCCAAAAGCAGGCCCACACTTCCCATTGAAAATCTAATAAGTTTATATTTGTTAAAATTGTTCTTCATTTTAATTACTGTAGTTTTTAAGTGTTTTTTGCACTACAAATAAGATATGTGCAGAGTGCATAAGAATTCATTCATATTTTTTTTCAAATTATAATCTGGCCCTCCAACAGTTTGACGGACTGTGACCAGGCCCTCTGTTTAAAAAGCTTGAGGACCCCTGCATTTGACCAATCTGAATTAATTACTATTTTATTTCAGTCCAATGGGCTTGCTGATTTTTGTCAACAAATGCACATTTTTCTTATCCATGTCACCTTTCAGTGAAATATTTTGTTTCAATGGCCAGCTGCTCCATAAATAGAATGAAGCAAGGAGAAAGGGGTATATCATTTCCTAATAAAACAAGACAATTACGGATCATTTAGTACATTAATTATGATTACCATGTACAATTAGTACACCCAAGTCCACTATATCAGTATCCTACTATAAGCAGCACAGAATTATGATGGATTCATAAAATAAAAGTATAATCTATTTGTTCCTAAAATCAACATATTTATGCAATCTTTTTAGAGTATCCATTATTCTTTTCACACAGCCTTTCTAATAAACTTAAGACAGGTCTCAGGCATGGGTTTCTACTGACAATTTCTTTTCTGATATTAGTCAAGACACCTTCAGAAGGGCTTCCAACAGCTGACAGCCTTGACTTTAAGAAGAACAAAAGGATATCCCAAGGATGAAGATAAGCATCAGAGAGACTTATCAGTGCAAACTGCAAAAAGAAATAACTCCCAGAGGGCTTTTCCACACAGTCCCTATATCCCAGGATTTGATCCCAGAATATCTGCTTATCCCAAGTTTTCTGGCAGTACAAACTCATATAATCCATTTCAACTCAGATAACCTGGGATCAGATCCTGGGATATAAGAACTGTGTGGAAAGGGCCTAAGAAGGGTCAGCTATACCTTCTGAAACTGGTTTTGGAAACAGCTACCTGATATAGACAGTGGGTGGATTTCTCACTTTTGAGTATCTTTCCGACAAATATATTTTCTACAAAGTAGAACAATTTCTCAGCCCTGCAGTTGTCTGTAAGCCTTCTGGCTCTCTGGCTGTTGTGAAAGAGGGGAGAGCACCCTGAATCTAAACAAGGACATTATGCATACATATACGGGTCCTATATTATCAAAGGGACCAAAACGTCAAAGTAAAGTGATCAGCCTCCCCGTGCAAATATGAACAAACAAAGAGATGGCATTTGCTGATTGAGGCTGAAGTGTGTTCAAGTGCAGGAAACATCTCGAAAGATCTTGTGTCCACAGGAATATTTGCCTGCTTCTATGCTGCTCTGCTTGTATATTTTTAAACAACCCACATTATCAGGATACAAGAAGATTCTGGTTTTGTGCTATCCACAAGAAAATAAACCCCATTAGGAACTTCTCACTATTTCAGATTGCAATGTCAAAAGCATGCTGTCTATATTTTGAGCAATAGCAACTTGTTAGAGAAAGTGCCTGTAATGGACAAGCTGGGAATGGTCACTGAAATTAGACTGCAACAGATGGATATAAATTCTTCAAGAGAGAAAAATGACTTGTTGAGACAGGAGTAGCTGAAATATTTTCAAGCACATATGCTATAAAATGCCACTTCTCAAATTCTCAGGGGGAAAGAGACTTATGACGTACTTTTCTCTCACACAATTCTATGAGGATTATCCAGAAAGTAAGGTTACAAGACACGTAGTTCTCACTGGGAATTTTCATGGGGGAAGTTGATATCACTGCTGTGTCACGAGAAGCGAGTGGAAGCAAACGAGCAGTGCCAGTCGTCAGTAGCTCATCAACTGGCATTGTGGTGAAGGTTAGAGATGAGCGTCCTCATTCTGTGTTGACTTCATTTGGTTGGGCTGACAGCCCTGATTCCACCCCCAGTGACTATCATCGGTTCATTAAATTGAAGGAACACTTTGGTGAAAAACACTTTTCCAATGACGACAAGGTGAAAATCGAAGTGACGAACTGGCTGAAAAAGGTGGAGGAAAACTTCTATGTCACAGGATTCAAAAACTCATCCCACGGATGACAAAATGTATTGAACTGAATAGTGATTATGTGGAAAAATAATGTAATACCTATGCTACAATCCATATACGTTTTATTAAAATATATTAATTCTTTGTATTTTAAAAATATCTTGTAACCTTACTTTTCAGATAACCTTCATACTTTCATGGTTTCAAGAGCTCACTTTGAAAAAAGATTCTTCTTTCTTTAACTTGCAGACACTGAAACAATAATTGAGAAAGCAACAATATTTGCTTTGTAAAGACAACCTTTAGACCACCTTGCAGAATTTTTTGAAATGAGAAACTATGTCTTGATCTGGAAAGAAGTTTCTGATAATAATAACATTCCATTTTTTCAATAGAGATACATTTGCTACCCATTACTGATTGCATTAAAAGAATGTTTGTACTCCAAATGAATTGTTGAAAAGCTGGCATCAAATTTGGCACAATTGTAATTGCGGATTGTAGAATCACCATTCAGTGCCAAAATTCTGCATACAAAAGGTGTCAGCTTATTACAGTCACAAAACACAAAACAGTATGATATTCTATTTGATCAATTTTTAAGAAACAACACTTTTCAAAAGGATGGGAAATGCTACCATTCTTAATTGTTATACTTTCTAACAGAATAAAGTATCTTCAACACCAACAATAAGATTTCATTCCTCCACTCAGCACCAAAGAGGAAAAGACAAGCTTCCAAAGATAATTTTAATAGCTTCAAGATGATAATATTTGGTACATTAGAGATATATATAATTTATACTTTGGATGAAATGTAAGGAGCCGTCCATAAAGAGTTCATATCCATAATTCATTCGAGGACTTAGCCAATTTTCCAAAATGACAATACAGACAATCCAATTCAATTATTTGCTTTGTTTTCAATCGATAAAAAAAGTTGAGGTTATTTGATATCTGAAGACTTGAGTTTTTTCATCCCACAAGAGGAAAAATATCAGACTTGGGAAAGAGAGGGCTCCAGAACATGGTTCTTCTGAGTTGGGCTAGGAATCCTCTTGCAGCACGTTTTGAACAGAGCACATTCAGAACGACAACATCGTCTTGTGGATAATTTCAATGCATTCTCTGATCTCGTCCTCCTTGATCACAAGAGGCGGAGCCAAGCGGATGATATCGCCATGAGTCGGCTTGGCCAGGAGTCCATTGTCACGGAGTCGCAGACACACCTTCCAGGCATCATAGTCTTGGGGAAGGGGAAAAGTATTTAAAAATGCACAATTAGAAAACTGGTTTATAAGCACGATAAATTATATCTTGATATTTTATTTATTTATTTACTTACTTACTTACTTACTTACTTACTGCATTTATATTCCGCCCTTCTCACCCAGCAGGAGACTCAGGGCGGATTACATTGTACACATATATGGCAAACATTCAATGCCAATTAGACATACAATGTATACAGACATACACAGAGGCTATTTAACTTTTTCTGGCCTCCAGGGGAGGTGTTGCTTTCATTGTCTATCTGCGACACTGATGAAGTACTTCCGCATTCCCCGCATGCTTTTGCTGGAGTGCTTTTTGCTGGAGTCTTTTTATGGCCTCATAAATTAGTTAATTAGCCTCCCCACACATAGGTGGTACCTAATTTTCCTACTTGACAGATGCAACTGTCTTTCGGGTTGCAAAGGTCGACAACAAGCTACACAAAATTGGCCGGAAGCTCACTCCGACCCGGGCTGGCTTCGAACTCATGACCTTCTGGTCAGAGTGATCTTAATGCAGCTGACACTCAGCCAGCTGTGCCACAATCCCGGTATGAAGCATGCAAGAGCTATGTTGCAAATCTGCTTTGTTTCTAATTAAAGAGAGGAATGTGTTCAAAATCTTTAATACTAAACCATCTTGAAGGAATATATTTCAATTTCTATTTGAAAATATCTGTGACTTATTTTGTTTCAAGGTTGTACATGCCAATATTGGTTTATAACACAGCCCAACAGACACGAAAAGAAAATCTTGATGACTTGATTTTTAGGCCTATTCCTGGAGTCATTTGGGGCACTGAGTCAGAAAATTGCATTGGATAGACCACATCAGTACTAATTTCTTAGATATGGTTATCATGATTTCTTATGGATTAGCAGATGAAAACTGGTGTATAATAAATATTCTGTATCTCTAATACTAGAGCTGATGGGGGGGGGGGGGGGATACTGGTGCTATTTCTGGAATCACCAGGTCAAATATACCCAGAAATAGGTCTAACATTTGATGTGATTTTTTAATAATGATTGTAATGTTTTATATGTTTTTAATGTGCCTTTAATTTTAATTTCAAATCTTTAACTTAATATATTTTAACTGTTTGTTATTCAAAGGCATTGAATAGTTGCCATATGTAAAGCCATCTTGAGTCTCCTTCGGGGTAGGAATAGTGGGATACAAATAAGAGTAAATAAATAAATAAATAAAATTGAGACCAGTGTTGGCCAGTGTTATGGTAATATTACACCTTATTACTGTGCACTATTATATTCCCCTTAGAATTTAATGCACCATCAAATCTAATATGTATCTAAATTTTCAAAACCTTGAAACAAAAAAAGAGGATTTGCTGGTGAATGTAACATGCAGCATCTCTCTCCCACCCAGCCAGTATATCTTTATATGAGGTTGTGGGTGGGATTTTAGGAGGATGGTCAGTTTTAAATGTAATTTTAATTGTATATATTGTATTTTAGTTTAATTTTAACTTCATATCCATCCACACTGGATTATTTCATTGTTCTCTCATTTTAGTATTGCGATTTTTAAACTATGACAAAAGCGTGGGATTGTGAACTACCGTGAGTCTCTGTCATGCCCCCAGAAAGGCTTTTATTGTTTTCTTTGCTAAGCCTCAGTTGTTCCCTTAGTTAGAATGGGTTCAGTTCCCTTTTGTATAGTTTTCTGTGGGAGGGAACCTTAATTATACCGTCCCTTTACAGAACCCCCCAGAGGTGGAGATTGCAGTCCTTCTTAGCAACTGCTTCGAAGTTAGTCAATTTAAGGGTGCCAAGGAGTCTAGCAGCTGCAATGTCTTTCACGTCTAAGGTTAAGGAAATTCAGTTTAAGAAGTCAAAGTTTAAAAAGCCAAAAGTTGAAAATAAGTTTAAACAAGCTTAAAGTATTAAGGAACCAAGTCTGCAGTTTAAAGAAGAAAAGAAACTTAAACAAGAGGTGTTACCAGATGTTAACGCCAGACAAAGGACACAGAAAAGAGGCTAGAAAGATTTCTTTGGAAAAAATCAACAGAAACCCAGTTAAATTCAAAGCTTCCAGCTGTTCCTTCAAGCAATTGTTTGTTAGTCCAAACCTGGGAGAAGTTAAGGTACTGATCTTAAATACAATTAAATTATATCACTGCTATGGCTAGATGGAATACTGTGCTATTGAATGCGATTGGAAGAATTTCCTCTCAAGACTATAAATGTGCCTTTGTTACCACACCAATGCCTTGTAACGAGATCAAAAATATAGCCTCACCTTTAGTTTCGCGAATAACAATAGCATTTAGTAATCCTTTCCCTCTGACATTAGTCACAATATCTGATGGTGTCTTCATAAGCTCATTCCTTAATAAATTGCCCATGGTTTCTGCATTTTTCACCAGCTCTTCTTCTTCAATCACCTGCAGCAGGTGGGAATAAGGCAGAAAAGGATGAACAATATATAGTCAATGAAAATAGTATGCGTGTCTTACAAGAACATCCCTAACAATCTGATTCAAGAATGAAGATATGCTATTTATTTGAATGTAATGCTAAATTACCTTGCCAACATTAGGGGGCGCATTAGACTCATGTCATACATTAATCTTAGTGCTAAGCCAAAGTCAGCTGATTCTGGAGCAGCTGGAGATCCATTTTGAGGGATGTCACCCCTAATTTAATGGCCATTTCTCAATGCTATGCAATGCTGGGATTTGTAGTTTAGTGAGGCATCAAGGCTGTTAAAGTGGATTCATTCTACAGCATAGAGGCACACTGAAGTTTTCCTTTCCATTGCTGGAAGTTTCGGTGTTCTAAATTACAAAAAGCGTACGTTTTGCTGCTGAACATTATATCCAGCAACTAATACTGGTTTTGGTTTCAGGGTTTTGAAAATTGAGGTACGCATTAGTTTTGATGGCAAATTAGATTCGAGTAAATACGGGTAATTTCCCCAAATTACAGGGGTTAACACGGTATAAACATGAAAATAAACATAGTAAAACCACTGTATCCATGAGAGACACATTCTGGGCCGGACTACAGTTACCTGAAGATGAGAATATAACCAAACGCCATTAAATTAATTGACTTGTAGTGCAAGCATTATTAGAATAATCCTGGAGAATGAAATTCCTAGAGGTGTCATCTCTACGAATTTGCTAGGCCCTCTAGGGTGAGTCTATGGTAACATTCAGGGAACACATAATCACCAGGAGGACCTAGAAAATTCCTGGAGAGATGACAGCTTCAGTAGATGAAACCAGAGATCCCCAGGTACATGGGTATAAACTGTATTCAGTTCTGAAATCAAACAAATGTTAAAAGATGATAGATGGTTCTTTAGTAGTATCTATTTAACAACTGCATTACAAGAATTCACAAAAAGTACAAGCTTAGAAAAATAAAAAGTCCTCAAAATTTTTCAATATGTTAAAGTATTGCAGTGTTGGCGGTAGCTAGTAATTAGATGAACTCCAAAAATACTCTTGTTAGCAGAGTAGGAAGATGGATGTTTCTCTCATCCCTTGCAACTCAGTCCCTCAAAAGTTGGGGCTATTCAACTTCTTTCTTTAAGTTTAATTTGTTTAAATTCTTTATTAAGTATTTTAAAATTTCCAAACATTTTAAACATAATACAAATGTCTAATCTCACCTTCTATAATCCCAACCCTCCCATTGCTCACACGTCATTATAAAAATACACCACTGTCAATTCTATGACTTCTACATTATTCTAATGTTATCAATTACATATAATTATTGTAATGTGTATTACTAATAATAAAATAAATAGACTTTATTTATACCCCGCCAGCACCTCCCCGAAGGGACCCGGAACAGCTCACAAAAGCACTCCAGAGTGCCGCATATAAAACAAACAATATGTAAGCATAAAAAGAATAACAACATAAAAGTCAACTGCAAACACAACGAATGCACATGACACCCCATAATAAAATTTTAAAATTTATAAAATGCAGTAGTGCCTGCGGATAAAACTGGCTGTCTTCAATTAACACATTAAAGTGCTGGAGTAAACAATCAGTCCTCACATGCAACCATTGAAGTATATTCAAGGTCAAAGGCCCATTTAAAAAGCCATATTTCTAGGCTAGACCGAAAGGTTTGGAGAGAGGGGGCTAACCTAATCTCTCTAGGGAGAGCATTCTAGAGCTGGGGACCCACCACTGTGAATGCCCTCTCTCTTGTCTCCACCAACCTTGCCTTGGATGGTGGTGGGACCGAGACAAGGGCCTCCCCAGCAGATCTCAGAGCCTGTGACAATTCATAGATACATTGGACCCGAAGCGTATACGGCTTTATGGTGACAACCTGCTCGGAAACTAGCTCAACCACAATCTTTCTTGGATGGTGGTTTAAATTTTGTCATTGCTTTTATACATAAAGCTAATAAATGTTTTCCAAAAGCTATCAAATAGATTTTCTTTGAATTCTCTTTTTACTAATCTTAATTTATAGGTTATCTTTTAAAATACTATCGCCCACATCCTGTTTAACCTATTCTTTATTGTCAGATTCTCTAACATTTTCCAGGTTTTTTTTTATTTTGAGTCTTGTGGCACATAACAGGAGCAGTTTTAAATTTCTAGTATCAGTATCAGATCCTTATTTCCACTTTCAAATACAGAAAACACTACCAGAGCTCCCCTGAAATATATTGCTTCCCCCACTATTTGGCTTACTCAGACTCTTTGAGGGAGCAAGGAAGAAAGAAGGCTTAAGCTTTTGAAGAATCTCCTCGAAAGAGTTCTGCTCTCGAAATGCATTAAGAATTTTAAGAAACAATTATTTTGAGGAATATAACGTATTCATTGGTTAGTTGGGAATCTTGCTTTGCAGATATTATTGTATACAGTGGTCCTTTTTTGGTGAAGGATTGAGGGAGTTTGAGAAACTCAATTCATGGGATCCCACCTGTTCATTGCATTTTAAAAACCAGTAATTTGCCTACCTCAAGTGAGGCCATGGCCACTCGACAGGCCAATGGGTTTCCTCCATATGTAGAGCCATGTTCACCAGGTTTTATGCTAAGCATAATTTCATCGTCGCATAACACTGCAGACACCTATAAGACAACAAGCTTAAAAATAAGGTATTTTACTGCTGTAAAACATCACAGAAGTTACCTATATGTTATTCATATATTTTGTGACCGACCACCAACACAGCCTGAGGCAGCAATTCAACCCTGAGGCAGCCATTCGAAACAGCTTATTTGTATGTCCTATTGCCTTCTACTTTATGTATTCCTAAGAAAATGAGAATTCAACTGCAGTGTAAGTTGTTGCACTGTTTACTATAGTTAGTATGTATTTACTGTTCTAAAACTTCTTACACAGAGCGAATAGTTTCAAAATGCTGACTATCACATTCCGACTATTCTGAAGCATGATTATTTTCTGCCTCAAAGCTGTTCTAAGCCAGTTGTGTCATCACATAAGATAATGTGAACCTCATGATACCAAACACATTTTTTCTTTTAGATGGCAATCATTAATTTCCAATGGATATAATTAAAATTCATAAATCATGCTGAATACACTGATCAAAAACAACCTACAAATTCACTCAAAATATGTATCAATTGATTGGTATCTTATAATCTATTTAGTTTATAAAACTCATAATTCAATCTAGAACTGAGTCTGGGTCTACACTGCCCTATACCCCAGGATCTGATCCCAGATTATCTGCTATTCCCAGATTATCTAGCAGTTTAGACTAATATAATCCAATTCAAAGCAGATAAACTGGAATCAGATCTTGTGATATAGGGCAGTGTAGATCCATCCTAAAATATAGCACATCAACTTTCCCAGATAAATGAAATCAGGGTTCATAGTTATTCTACATAATTCAAGGCTGAATACCTTCTTACTTTACAGATGTTGCTGGACTCCAATTCCCATCAGTCCCAACTAGCACAGCTACTGGTCAGGAATAATAGGAACTGTGGATCAGTAACCTCTGAAGGGCCACAGGTTTCTTATCCCTGTCGTAAGCAGAATATTTCTAGTAAAATATATATTAAAGTCATGTTAAATTTGGTTACAAATACAAGGAAACTCATGCTCCTTCCACACAGTTGATATTCTAGACTATAGGGCTGTGTGGAAGGCCCCTCAGATAGCCCAGTTCAAAGCAGATATTATGGAATTTTCTGCCTTGATATTCTGGGTTATATGGCTGTGTGGAAGGGCCCTTGCAGTCTGCACTATGTTTTCTATAGTTATTTAGTCCACAGGAACTTTTTACCATATTTACATAGGCAATAACAGAACATGTTATTTCTTTTGGGATTCTTACAAGATTTGTCATAGGTCTTCCTTTTGGTTTCAGGGCTGTTCCTACATTAAAAACATTATGTCACAGAAAAATGACTGCAGGCCAGAGTTAATGTCTAAAAGGCTGCATGGAAAACTTTATAAATATTCTCCTAAAGAATATAACAGTCCTGCCAAGGATGCAGGAACACTAAGCAACACTCTTTAGAGATAGTATTGTGTTGGATTCCTTCCTACATTGCTTTTTTTTTTTTTTAACTAAAAAGGGAACGATTTATTGAAGCCCTGCCATGCCATAAGAGAATGATGCTGGAATATAACTCCGAGGGCCCTTCCAGAAAGGCCCTATATACCAGGATTTGATCCCAGGTTTTCTGCTTTAAACTGGATTATGTGTGTCTGCACTGCCAGATAATCTGGGATAAATAGAAAACCTGGGATTAGATCCTAGGATATAGGGCCTGTCTGGAAGGGTCCTGAATGATTTCACTCAATGAGTAGCTCTTTCTTTGGGCCAGTTCTTAATTAGATAAAAACTGCAGAAGGAAATTCAAGCTCAGTTCTTCAAAAAGAACCCATACTTACAGGATAGACACCTCCAGACAGGGCTTTGCCAAGTAAGATGAGATCTGGTCTAACGTTTTCATGATCAACAGCCAGCATTTTTCCAGTCCTAGCTAAACCAGTCTGAATTTCATCCGCAATAAAAAGAACCTGTTTTGTTTTCAAAAGGATGAATATATAACATTAAATTTAAAGAGAAATACCTCATTTATATAGTAACTTTGCCCCAGCATTCCCATTCTTGCAGACATTAAATATACATTTTAAATAAACAAACTCCAGTGTTTAAGGGCTACTAAACATCAGCAGGATCACATAACATCTGCACACTTTGATAGAAGGCTTGAAGTCTACAGCTGTATCCATGACAAGCAATATTAGAGAGGTGACTCCTCAGTGGCTGAGAACGTCCATTCCCTGAAGCTGCTGTAAATCCTTTGGCTCAAATGCACAGGACGGTCACAATTTCCTATTCCCAAAATGCCAAAGAAGAGCAACTCAAATGCAAATGGAAATCTGGTCACAGAAGACTCTTGATCACATCACTAGCCTGTGTTTATATTTATCTGGCCTTTAGTGTATCCTAAAGTCCAAGGAGAGAGCGTATTATAAAAATTCCACAAGGCAAGCTTTACCACTGTTGTACCAAAAGGTAAACAGAGTTGTTATCTCAAAGTAACCCTATTGACAGGCTGAGGAAATAAAGAGTAGTTGGCCAAAAGTGGGATAAAGTCCAAATTTAAGGGGTACACAGAGCATAATCCAGTGATTTTACTGTCTACTCAAGACAGACATAAGACTGATAAGGTAGCAAGGTTTGAGCAATGGCTCAGATTTCAGAAAGGTGCTTTTTCAAAGCAAAACTGACGTCACTAGTGAAAAGAAAAAAATAATACTGATTTCTCCAAAAATCCCATAGGCCTTAGTGATGTTCCTTTGGGAAATCAAAGAACCTATATATTGAAACTGTTGTGGATGCAGGCAGGAGGCAGACTCCATTGGGTAATACAGAATGTTGGATGAGTGAAGGTTGGATAAGCGAGACTCTACTGTATATATTATATACTAGTAACACACATAAGGGGGAAAAGCACATTTAAGAAAGCCAATAAAGATCTATGCATTTTGAAATATATGAGAATTGTAAAAATTTGGACTAAAATAAACTATATTAAGTAGAAGACTGGAGCATTCTGTGGTGCTTAATTATTCTCATTTTGTTGCAGTGACTCACATTGTGCTTTGTGCAAAGTTCTCGCACGCCTGTTAAATAACCTTTATCAGGAACAATCACACCAGCTTCACCCTGAATGGGTTCCACCATGAAAGCTGCTACATTTGGATCCTGAAGTGCACGCTAAAGGAGAAGCAGAGAAAAAAAATTACTGAACATAATAATGGAGAGATATTATTTCCACAATGGTTGTGAACCCATCAGTGCCCTATATGAGTGCGACAAGACCAGCAATGGCAGCTAAAGAAAAAATGCCAAAGGTAAAGTGGCCATGAAGGAAGGACAAAGAAGAAAAGTTGGCCACTCAGAACCAGCAGAATTTATCTGCCTTCTTTCACCACTGCTGCATTACCTTGGAGGAAGTGTAGGGCACCAACTTCTATACCTGCCTGCTTAAACTGATCTCATGTGATAATCATTCTGATTGTAAACTGCTATAGGGTTATTTTATTAATCCATCACCACAAGCATATGCTCCTACTACGTTAAAATATGAATTTGCTTGGGCATAACAGAAAGGAAACTCTAACACTGTCAAGCCAGAAAACACAAAAAGGAGCTTGGTTAGATTGTCTTCCCTTTTATTTGTGGGCAACTCTGTTACTGGATCCAGAAGTCTTGGAAAGCATATCAAGGGAACAATGCTACAGTATATATTACTTTATCCTTGCCCTCTCTCCATTGCTGCTATTTGCACTTATTGTTTACAGCTTGGCCATGTTTACAGCAGCTTGGCTGATGACCTCAGTTTCATTGAGTCTGTGTTGATGTTTTTATATGCGTATGTGTTTTATTTTATTGTATTGTATTTTATATTGTGCTTCAATATATAATACAAGGATTTTTTTTTAAAAAATGAAACAATTATATTAAAATTCACCCAAAAGACACTTTAAATATAAAGTAAAAAAATAAAGTAAAAAGCCCATCATACCCCATCATACTGCAAGGGGCCCTGGCAACCCTGGCCTGCCACTCTCAAGTAATGGCATGAGCATGCGTACACCTCTCATGCCCCTCTTCTTGCCGCGCACGCACCTCTCTCATCCTGTGCTGCACATGCGAACACCGGAGGAGGGAGGGAGGTGCTCGCGTGTGGGGCAAGAAGAGGGACACGTGTGGCAAGAAGAGACTGCTGCTGTCACTGGTGTGCACACCCTTGCCACTACCTGAGAGCAGCGGGCCAGGGTTGCCAGGGCAATGGTAGCTACTCCTCCCCCCCCCCCCCCCGCCACCCTCCGCAGTATGATGGATATGTACTTTTTATTTTTGTACTTTATATTTAAAATGTCTTTATATTTTAAATGTTATTTTTTTAAAATCCTTTTATTATTATATTATTCTAGTTGCATCTAGAGTGTTGTTTCCCTCTCTTTTTTTATTCCTTTCCCTTATCTCCTAATGCACCCCCTAATGCACTCCCTCCTTTCCTTCAGTTGCAAATTTCCCCCTTAAAGAGGAGGAGGAGGAAGGAAAGTTCAATGCGGATTAGGAGTAGACTGTGGAATGCTGGGTTGCTTTGAGAAGATGAGGGTCTTGGTGGGAAGGCATGGGGCTTAAAGAAGGGGTTCTTTCAGCCCCACACCTTCCCACCAGGACCCTCACTCGAGTATAAGCCAAGGTGGGCTTTGTCAGACTAACAAGGGGACTAAAAAACTTGGCTTATACTCAGGTATATACAGTAGTTCTCAAAAGCCTAAAGGTTTAATATAAGCAGGTTTATCTACAGAAATCACAGTACACAATGGCTTCTTTGGACTTAGTTCAGTTGTCATTTCAGCAAATCTAATGGCACTGCTATCATGTATTAACCACGTTTTCATGCTGTTCTTCAATAAGACCCTAAAAGAGTAAAAGAAAACAAAAAGTGCACAGATTTTTTTTAAAAAGGAATGTGGGTTTACAGAATGGGAAATGGTGAAGTACCTCAAGAGCTGGCAAGTCATTGTACGGAATAACTTCAAAACCTGGCATAAATGGTCCAAACCCATCATAGCTTGAAGGATCTGTAGAACTTGAGATAGCAGAGAGCGTTCTTCCCCAGAAGTTGCCAGCTAGCATGAAAAAGATAAAGAAATTCGATACAGGAAACCTTCATGTTTAATGTTTACAAATGTACACACACAGCCAAAATTAGATTCAGTTCTTGCAGTACTGAAGCTCAGACATACCTGCAAAAAGGATCTTTGCTTTGTATTTTGGAATTCCCTTCACTGTATAAGCCCATTTACGAGCCAGCTTACATGCTGTTTCTCCAGCCTCCACACCTAAGACAAAAAAGTACATACAATAGAAAGGAGTTTAGAGATGGAGATTACAGTCAGAAGCCATGTCATTGCCTACCCGAGAGGTACAAAAGCAGGGCAAAAACACTCCTAGTGGATACCACAGGAAAGGTATTGGGGGATGTTACTTTGGTTCCTCAGGATGGTGAAAAAAAAAAGAGAAACCATTACTATTTCTCCTCCCACTTCTATAACTTTTCTCCAATGGGAACACTGTGCCAATGACACATGAAATATTTGTAATATATAAGTGCTACACTCATATTACACTATGTAACAAAAATTGAAAAAAATGTCTGTTCCTGGTTTGAAAATGTTATTTCCTGTTTAATTGTGTGGTACTTAGTTTGACAGTAGTTATTATACTTCAGAAACTTCATTTTTGTGGCTGCCACAAACTATGTTAAATAACTCTATGAGATATTTGTTGAAAAACTATAGCAAAATTTGCTGCAGGATATCCTGCAAAAACAAAGGTTTTTGCAGTTTAATAAACCTTTTCCATGTTTTTATGACAAAACCAATTAGGAAATGACATTTATAACCCAGGAACAATAATTGTAATTAATGACAGCAACCTCTCATAGCAAGCTCAAGACAGTCACAGACTTTTGTGCCCATCAAATGTCAGGCACGTTCAGACTTCAAAAATCCATAACTGTCTGTTATCACATTCCACTTAAGTAACACAAACATACATAATTTTTGAAGGACAAGGGGTTTTACCTGTGTTCATTGGAAGCACTTTGTTGTATTTGAACATTTTAGTGATGTACTCTTCATATTCACCAAGCACATCGTTGTAAAATGCTCTTGAGGTAAGGGTAAGTTTTTCACTCTGGGACTTCAGGGCAGCTATAATCTTTGGATGACAATGCCCTTGATTGACAGCACTGTAAGCACTTAAAAAGTCAAAGTACCTTTTGCCTTCGACGTCCCACACATAGACACCTGGAAGAAAACATAAAAACAAAAGTTAAGGTACTAGGGAAATACCAGCAGGACACATCCTGTACATAAACAAAAATTATTATTATTATTATTATTATTATTATTAGCGAATTAAAGCCACAGGGGTATTCAAGCTATGCAGAGATATAAAGTACAGGATAGACTTTGGCCAAATACATTTCTGCAAAGCAACTTTTCCATACAGAGACGTGCATGGTGTCATGGTCTACATGCTGGTTGATGATTCTGGAAACTGAAGTTTAGATCCCTGCTCAGCCACGGAAACTCAGTGGGTGATTTAGGGCTAGTTACATTATCTCATCCTCTCAAATGGCAAAACTCTGAATAAATCTTGACAGGAAAACCTTGTGATGCAGCAAAACTAAGTTGAACCTAAACTGGAAATTATTTGAAGGCACACAACAACAACAACAACAACAACAAAGTGTTCCACATAGAATGGCTGCTTTCAAAAATTTTAATCATTGGGACATAATTCAGATTTCTTCAATTTCCAGACAGCTTTATAGAGGTTCAGTAACCCTAAGTTGACAATTAAGCTTCCCCTGATGTGATGAGCAAGTTTTCTACTGATGCCACACTAGCAATTTCTGTTCAATCTACCCTAAGGTAAAAACAAGAATAAACTTGTGTGCAAAGGGATCTTACAGCATATTTAAAACTAACTTTTGTAAACATACATCTATGATCCCTTTGCATGCTGATTCATTTTAACACAGCTATGTCTTTTACAAGAATATACTCGTAAGAAACAAGGATAAACTTGTGGATAAACTCACATACTAAAGTGATGAAGCCTTCTTTAGGTCAGTGGGGTGGAGCCAAAAGAAGACAGATTACATTCAAATTTCCAAGGTGAACAGAAGGCTACATAGCTGCCTCCCTTCCTTCCTGCCCAACATGACAGGTTTCACCAGGCTGCAAGATGCCAAGATGAACAAACTGTTTATTTGCCCTAAAGGAAGCACTTGATATGGTTATACATTACTTTGGTATACTTACTACCTGTCAAACACATGTTCACAAAGGTAATATTGCTTTACAAAGCTATTAATTTGCAGCTATAAACCAATAAAGAAGTTGGCCTGCAAAGATTTCCAGGCACTTCGCTCCAAGCTTTAATCTTGCATTATGAGGTTACATAGTAGCAAGAACACAGTTAGACTTTGACACTCTTTAAGCTTCTAATTAGATTAAATATTAGATTTGCTGAAGCTTGCTGAGCGCAATAAAACTTCAGAGACAAGTCTAGTTTGGCAAACAGCTAGGACCCAAATGCTGGAAAGCTCCTTAACATCAAGACATAACAAGGAAGGCCCAAGCTTTTACAACAGAAATAGGCAAAAAGGAAAGTGTGTTGTCTTCCATGACAATTCTTCTTTTTTCTTTATTTTATTAATTTTTATTGTGAGATATATATACACACACATACACACACAGAAACATACAATCTTCAATATTCCACAATCAAAATACAAGTATTATTTCCCCAGTCCCGCCTTTTCCCCGTTCCCACCTGTGAACCTCCACCTTTCCCAACTGTATTTGTCAATCAGTTGAGAATCAATTATGAACAGCCATATTGGCCAGATACTAATATTTCCTTCTCAATGGCTCATTTGAGCAGAAGCAGGTCATTTTAGCATGCAAACCTACTTATCCAACATCTTGTCTAGACTCAAATGACTTAACATCTCTTGTTCTATCACTGTCCATTTTCTACCCACTTACTCTTGCTCCAATGTATAATAGCTTTTACGATAATAGTCCTTGGCCAAGGCTTTTTGTTTTCCATTGTAAAGAATGAACGTGTAAGCATCACTGTTCTCCTCATGATAGCAACAAAGAAATGCTAGTACACAACTGCAAAAAGAGGTACGGTATAATACAGATTATCAAAGCAGATAATCTGCATTATCTGGTTTGAACTGGATTATATGAGTCTACACTGCCATATAATCCCGTTCAAAGCAGATAATCTGGATTTTATATGGCAGTGTAGAAGAGGCCTTTGATTCAGCTCCCTTCTGTATATATGTGTAAGTGCGACAAGTAGTGAACACACATATTTGTTCAAGCGATGCTGTAAATAAAGTTTTCTGTGCATGTTGAATGGCCTTATGAAGAAAGGTAAATGGGCAAGAAAGAAGGAGGAAGCCTAGCTGCATATCATGTCATGTAGCACAAATTTTGAGTTTAGATTGCTCCCCACAGAGCAATCATACCTCTTCAAAACATATGTAATGAGGAGACACATTAGCACTGCACTGTCTTCAATGTTTATTTCATACCCAACGTTTGTATTAACTCAGCTCAGAAACCTAGTGGGCTGGCAGTACATTAATGGGTGAAGTGCATTTCTCAGGACAGATACTATGTTTTCCTAGCCTAATCAGTCTGTCCTTGTTAGGGTGTTTGTTTTTTTTTTAGAGTGTTTGACAAAGGTGGAAAAGAGCAAAGCCAACATAGAAGAATAGTATTTTTACAAGCCACAGGAATCAGACTGTGTGATACAATTCTCTCTCCTTTGCAACCCCAAGGGAAAATTGACCTTTTACACACTCAGAACTTTCCAGGATTTAAAGGAATTGATATCATCCCCACTGAGCTGGTCCTAAATGCTAAGTGATACTCTGTTAGCCAGAAATAGAGTAAGAGTCACAGATCTGTTTCAGCAAGTTGCAGCTGTGGGCTGCTCCTCACAACTCTTACAAAATTGCATCACGCCCCATCAGTAACAAAAAGGCCAGCAAACATACAGAACACCTTTGTAGGCCTCTGCTATGTATCTTATTAATTATACAAGCCTATGTTCTGATCATACAAACAAAACAATGCTTAACTTGCTATACTGATACAGGCTGCCTGTTTCCCATGCCCACCAACCTTCTTCAAAAGCCAAACTATTCATTTTTGGCAGCAAAACATAGTACTGAATTTGGGCAGCAAACAATAAAGAGCAACGTAAACAACCAGAAAAAAAAACTTGTTTTAAAAGGGGTGTGATCAATTCCACACTGAATTTTAGTGACAGAAAGGATAGAGCCCACAGTGGCGTCTGTAAAAGGCAAAACTCATTGTCACCCAGCCTCCAAGGTTGTTTATTTCTATTCTAGCCGGTCTCTGGATCATAACCAGAGGGGAACAAGGAATTTACAATAATGGCTACCTCACAGAATGAGCATTATCATATCTTACCCACCCCATAAGATAATCTTCTTCATCCCCTTGATTCTTATGGAAGCAAACTAGGAGAAATGAGCACATGAACATACAAGTTAGGAAGTAGGGGTGTCCCAGTTTCATTTTGGTGCTCCGGTTTCCGGCGATTCAGAGGACTCATCTGATGAATTAATGAAAACAAGCCGAAATGGATCAGAGCAGCTGTATCTTTTCGGCTAATGGGGCTGAGGGGCACACTACTCTTTCCGAAGTTTCCGAAGTTTTTCTCTCTGTGTGTTTTTCAGTTTCTTTCTTTCTTTCTTTCTCAGCCAATCAAAGACCTGGTTGACTGTGTCCATTCTCCTCCCCTCTTGTGACGTGCGCTGGGGACTTCAATACCCCAAACCCCCTTTTGTAGGTTTTTTTTTAAAAAAAATGTTATGGTAAAAACTTTTAAAATGTCCCAAAATATAGTGGATTGCTGAAACGCTCTGAAACTTGACAGCCTTGCAGTTGTAAATGAGTCAGGTTTCATGTGGATAGGCCTCAAAATGACAACAAAACAACCCTCTAAAATTTTCCCATTAGCACCTATGGACCAAATATTTTTGACACGGAAACAGAAATCCCTCCTGAATTTGGGAAGTTTCCTAAAAACAAAATGGGGGACGGGGTGCAGCTGAAAACCAGGCACCAAAAACAGGGTTTTCCTGATTTGCATACCTCTATTTGGAAGAAGAACTTCTATGAACTTGGGCATCCCAGTTGGCACTCCCTAAGAAGCCAATAGGAGGAAAAGCAGACAGATTGCACAAAGCCGATGGGGGGAAAATGCATCTTTTGCTGGCATTCTGCAGCTCTTTATTCCACCTTGGAGTGGGGGGGATTACAAAAAGACAATTGTGCCTAGGTCTATAACCAGGTCACTCTGGAGAAGAGCACAGCCCTTTTATTCCGAAACAATAAAAGTGGCCTGTGGGTAAGCAATCACTGATGACCAAAAATAAGACTTTTGAAGCCAAATCCCATGACTTGTAATAGACAGCAAAACTGAGATGGTAAGCCTCAAGACTTTTATGAGGGAAGTATCTGGTTTCTATTCTTACAGACATCTCAGCCAGACAAACATGAAAAGAAAGAAATATTAACACTACAAACGGCTACCTGTCAGCTCCTACCTCCCACTCATTTCTCCACTTGCCACACTAGTATCACATATGAGTTCTTCTTTCCCCTCATATAGGAAAAAGGGGAATAACCAGAAATTCAGCTATGTTTCTCGTCTGGATAAAAGGCAAGTGAATACTATAGATGTTTGGAGACTCAGCTGTCTCTTTCTACTGAACAAACAAGATTGAGCAGAGAGAGAAGACGTCCAGCAGCCGTAGTATTCCATTTTTTAATTTTATTTTTTCAAAGAAATATCCCTATGGTAGTGAGAGTGGATTCATCACTAGATGGATTGTGGTTGAATTAAATAATATAGTGCACAACATGGCTTTAAAAACACTACTGCCTTCAAACAGATCAGATAGTTTAAAAATAAATACCTTTTCCTTTTTCGAGTGCAACTGGAAGAGGGTGGTAATTATGCGCACCATACTTGGCCTCTCGCTCATATATATATTCGGGTGACGAACATCCTTGGATTGTTTTCTTTGTTGCAACTGATGTGGCTGAAGTCACAGAAGCATGAACACCCCGGCGGAGAACAGCAAGTGATTGGGGATGAGCCAATTTGGAAAACATGATTACAGTGTACTTCTGAAAACAGAAAAGTTCACATCAAAAACATGTTAGAAACCAACCAAGAGACCTTTAGAGACATAGAAATTTCGGTAAACTCAGACTACGAAATCCTTAACATTTATAAACAGAAATCTAGAAAAACAGTTGATATGTGCAGTATGTATTTTCAACAGGCTTCTTGTGATTAATACAACCAGGATCCTTGTATAGTGTTAAGAAAGAAAATTCTAACACAAGCTCCATCTACACTGCCATATAATGTACGGTAGTTTGAAACGGCATTATATGTCTACACTGATCATATAATGCAGTTTCAAAGTGTATTATATGGCAGTGTAGATGGGGCCGCAGGATACAGCTCCTTCTTTATACAGGAGACAGACAACAATTTTCCCCTTCTAGAATCTCCAAACAAGCTCAATCTGAATTTTCCAAATGTTAGCTTGAAAATAAAGGTCACCGACAGTGGTTCCCAACCTTTGGGCCTCCAGGTGTTTTGGACTTCAACTCCAAGAAATCCCAGCCAGCTTACCAGCTCTTAGGAACTGTGGGAACTGAAGTCCAAAACACCTGGAGGTGTTTTGGACAAAGGTTGGGAACCACTGCGAGAGAACCAAAATTGGGGATTCCATTCCAAACCTCAGTCTGGCATACGAAAACTAATGTACAAATTCATATTCACTAATAACAGAAATATATCTTTATAGAGATATCATCAGATACAGAAGTGGAGAAACTGCATAATAAATTGACAGATTTATAAAGAGGCATATTTACAAACCAGGGAGTGACAAAGATGCACTCAGTCAAATAGAAGTGTGTCAATCAAACATATGGCTAAGTTCAGCGGCTTGGAAAAGGGCAATTTGTTCTACTTTGTTATCCCAAATCCGTTCCATTACATCCCCATTTCTTTTCAGATTGTTAAGATCAATGCAATCCCACTCCACCCCACATTCCAATCTATGGATGCATCTGCACTGTAGAAGTAATGCAGTTTGACTCTTAAACTGCTATGGTTTAGTACTATGAAATCATGAGAGTTGTAGTTTGGGGAGGCCCAGCACTCTTTAGCAGTGAAGGCAAAAGACTCTGTAAAACTACAATATATATTCCTGTTTTGTATATTTGAAACCCAGTGAAAGCCATTCTACCATCTGGAGGAACTACTGATGTAATAAAAATCAGTTAAAATACAGCTCAGTGCTCCAATACGGAAATTTCTACACCTATAGGATATATTACTGCAATGTACATTCCTATGTGTGAATTTACAAAGTAGGGAAACCCCTGGGAAAACAGAAAAGTTTAGTTATTTGGATTCCTAACATTCTGTTTCTGCTAACATCTTATTAGAGTACTTTTCCAAGCTGCTGAACCTGGCTACAAGCTTCCATATATGGAGCTTTGAAAGAAAAATTAACCCGAATTACAATGCAAAACCTGTCGTTAAGACCACTACAACCCAATGACTAATCCACAACATTAACTTTCAGTATCACTGTCTACTGTTTCATTAACCTGTAGGTGTACATGTGTGCATGCTAATGGTTTTTGCAGTTTCAAAAGCTGACCAATATATACATTCAGGGTTCTCTGTTGAGAACTCACACTATAACTATAGCCATTTTGCAGTCCCCTCCAACCAGTTTTAATATTTATATTATCACACCGTCAAGTAATTTATTTCTTACAGCAAAGAACTGGAATATATTGTTTTACCCTTCAAATACATTTTAGATTTGGAAATTAGACTACCAAACCCGTGATTTTAAATTTCTTTAATCTTGGCTATTTTAATTGTTCTATTTCTCTGTGTTGTTTTCAAAATGGGTAGATTTGATTTAAATTGTTTGAAATTGGTTTAATTTGGAGGGATAGAGTAGAGAGTTAAATGCTATATAAATCTTTTGATAGTTGTGGAGGTTCCCTGAACTAGTTTTGTACCTGGATGGCTAAGGAAGAGACTAGTGTCTGCAAAACGACTGGAGAAGGACAGCTTTGAACTGGAGATAAACAACATTTAAAAGCAGCTGGTCATTATTTTTATTTGTTTCAATGTGTATTAAACTGGTATGTATGCAATTATAAAAGTAATGCCACATATTTCCAATGTTCTCATATTGAAGGAAAATTGAAAAAGACGTTACTTAAAGAACGTCTTGTGTGAATGGGTGGGAATATAACAGCACACATTTTTCATACAAAATGTTTCAAAGATTTAGTACAAATAGGCTTTAAAATGAACAAATGTGCTACAATACATCTCGGAATTTCTTGTTTTCCAGGTGCTTTGGACCATACCTGCCCTGTCAAGGTGTTGGGGAGTGACAAGAAATGTTGCCTCCTCCAACCCTTGTAATCATCCTTCTTTGCAGAGAGCACAAAGGTTACAAATCCTCCATAATGTTACTTAATACTTACAAGCTACTGGCAACTGTAGTAGCACTTAGTCAATTCATCCCAAAGGCAGTTAAAGGTTATGCCCTATTGCATGTTCACAAATATTTGGTTGAGATATTGAACATCAAAATACCGTAAATATCTTGTTGTGGAAAGGGTATGCTACAAGATTCTTAATTATCTCTCCTGCCACTGGACAAGACCAGTTCTTTCCCAAGTAGGTTATGCGTCATACCATTTTCATTTCTTGCAGCCAAATTGTTGCCTGCAAGGCTTCTGTTAAACCTGACCTTGTTTGCAATGTGTGGGATCAACTGAAAGTTACATTTAATAATCTTTTACAGCACTAAAGACATGACAGATTAATAAGTGCAAGCAAAGCATTTATTTCTATATCTTTCCTCTGACTTGACATTTCAAGCTTTTCATTACTGCCTGTACCTATATGGAAAGTTCACTAAAGCCTTTAATTCTGTACCAATGCAAGAAAATTTTGGAAATGAGCCAATAAGGATTGTTGGAGACCAGGGGTGTCTCTACATCACATACACAGCTATAGCTAAATGCTATGGAATTATGGGAGTTGTAGTTTTACAAGATCTTTAACTTTCTCTACCAAAGAGTCCTAGTGCCTCACCAAACTACAAATCTCAGGATTCACAGAATCATAGAGTTGGAAGGGACCTTGTGGACCATCAAATCCAACCTCCTGCCAAGAAGCAGGAAAATAACATTGAGCCATGACAGTTCAAATGGTGTTAAACGGCAATCATTCTACAGTACAGATGCATCCCAGGGTTCAAATAATATCACTTAGTTCAGAGTAATATATTCCAGAATATCAGCCAGGATTACGTTCTCTCAATATCAGAAGAAGGCAATGGTAAAATAAATCTTGGCAAGAACAGTTTCACCTTGGGATCACCATAAGTCAGAAACTATTTCAAGAAAACAACTTGTTTTGGAAGATCTTTCTAAGTTATTTCAGGCAGAAATCTTGAAAATATGGCTCATAAGAGAGAGATTATGTGGTGAGATTGGCCACAGCATGGAGGACTACACTGTTAGTGCCCTACAAAACCAACATACCAAGAACTTATGCAATTATAAAAATCCTTAGAATAAAGCAAACAGCTATTCCTTTTAATATTGACATTGCTAACATAGTTCTGATATGACATTTAGGGATTTCACAAAAGAAGAACAAATACTGCAGCCCATTAAGATTTGGAAGACACCCAGACTTGAAATTGCATCACTCGAAGTTGCATCAGATGGAAATACTCTGTGTGATAGGACTCTACAGGACAGGCCCACAAACACACCCCTCAAAGAAAACATGTTAGGAGAAATAGATACTGTGATATAGTATATTAAAATTGAATTGATGTTTTGATATTATGAATGTAACTATAACCACACAACTCTAATTCCAAATAGTGAGATCCTGGTCTATTTAGCAACAATAATTGAGAATAACTAAACAGAATGCACCAGCATGAAATTCATTCTTCAGAAAACAATGATTTGATTCACTACGCATATAACAGATTTTGAAAAAATATATACACCTATACTCTTTTTCAACAACGTTCTTAATCTGGAGGTTGTGAAGCCGCTTCCTGTAGGAAGTAGATCTACCCAATGAAGAGCTTCCTCAAATTTTATTTTTCCAATTTAACCCTTGAATTTCAGAACCAGCTTTTCAAACATATCACAGTAGCAAACACAGGCATACAGCTAATTTCCACAGTGGAGAAATGTGATAATAATATTAAAGAGGAATGTGGAAAAATGTAAAACTAGGCTCACATAATAGCAGGAAAAATAAGTTTGGTTCAGTCAGGCTTAGAAATACCAGGCTGAAGGAGTGGAGTCAGTACAAAAGAGGTGCAGCACAAACTATATATACTCCTCTCCCCTTTGCTTTGTCAACAAGTTTCGCAAGTTTTGAAATGTTTCACAAACCCACAAAAACCTTGCTCGGCTAGCAGCACCAGTAGAACAAAAATATGTATCACTGGCAGGAACATTTCTATCAGACAAGTTGATTTTTGAAAAACAATGTCCATTTCCACTCTGTGCTTTATTTTCCTTAGGAAAACCTGTTGTGCACCTNCATTTCTGACCTATGGCGACATTAAGAAGAACATGTGACAGGGTTTTGTTAGCAAGAGTTGCTCATAATCACTTTTTTTGCTTCAAAGGAAAGCATGTGCAGTCAAGTTGTTGTGCATCTTCAAGTCATTTCTGACTTAGCGCAATCTTATGATGGATCTACCACAGGGTTTCCTTGGCAATAATTGTTTAGAGTAGATTTGTCTTTGCCTTTCTCTGAGGCCCCTTTCAC